TGACGAACGCCGCTGCTGGTAATGTAATGTCTAATCACAGCTGTGCAGTGTTAAAAAGACTATTTTTTACTTAAAACTGACTGTTTTTCGAGTTTCTTCAATTAGGAGCATCTCTATTCATACTAATCTCGCGGAGAATAATTAATGATATCGCGTCATACGGAGAGATTCACTCCGTTCGTCTGATTCGTGACCTATGACCGATTGAACTTTGCTAACTGTTTACTTGATTGGCACAATCTTTTTCTTGCATTAATCGATGCTATTTTGGGTCACATATAGGGGTCAGAGTAAAACTTGTAAATTGACTTGCTTTCTGTGTCAAGTACACGTTCGCTGTGTTCTTGCTTACGTAGCTGGGAGAAGGTTACCAGTGCTCGTGGCGTCCAATCCGTCCCGTGATCGTACTTGTGAAGCTAGACGATTAGTGCGGCCGTTGAGATACGTGTGTTCCTCATGTGATATCTTGTTGTGTGTACATTATGATCAATCGAGAATCGGACACAACATGCAGCTTCACTCCAAATTCTGTTAGGGAATAAACTCTCTCTGTCCATGCCTTCGCGATAATTTTTTGTCACTGTACATTCATTTGTACAGTTAACGTGGCCCTGAAATCCACAGATAGCACAGTGAATTCTTTGTATCAATGTTCGTAAACAGTGTCGGTGCGTAGCCACCGTATTTCAGCTCCGGGAAATTATCGCAACACGCTTCCTACTTGAGCTAATAGTGGCTGGTTCAGCGTCTGGCCTCATATTAATACGTTATGATGATTCAGGCTTTCGAAATGACGCCTACCCTGGAACGGCGTCACAGTTTACAGACACCTGCGATCAATCGGAGTTCAAAGGTGACGTCAATGACGCACGTACGTGTCACTGCTTCTGACTACACAACATAGGCCGATCGTGCCAGTCAATGCGAGACAGTGCAGTCCGGACAGAAGCAGATTGACGCAAGCCATACTGCAATACGATTGGCGGAGGCTTGGATAACCAACGATCTTCTTTCCTACGTATTATTTAATCGCCCTTATATCTTCCAATAAACGAACTACCATTCCCGTGGCCTTTTTTCGCGCCTTCAGTCACGTGGGATATTGCGCGTGTGCCATTGCGGTCCTGTGCTTCCGTGATAGCTGATCCTCGAATCGTATTACGTGCATATTATTACTACTACTACAATCATTACGCAGACTCAAGGTGGTCAAGTCAGAAAAAAATGAATGAGTTCATGTGACAGGGCACTTGCTGCTCAAATTGCAGTTCTGTGTTCACCGTTTTGTACAGATGTGTTTAATGATTGCAAAATTCTGGGATGTCCACAAACGATGGCCAACACCAGCATAATGATTAAGGGCGTGAATCGCTGTTCATACGCAGAGACTACAGTCGTCTGTGGGTTATATGCCAAACACTATCAGCGCATCAGAGAACATTGGATTATGGTATATCAAATAATGCAAAATCCAAGCCGTCTGTGTCGCCTGCTGCTTAACTAATTACCCAACGTTCATCTCAGAGGATATCCGTTCAAACTAGTGGTCTCGGAATGCCGGCATCAGACATTCGCAGTTCGAGTGTGTGTTCGGTCTGGAACTCTCTCCCGCACCACGTCATCTGTGCGCCAAGCGTTGAATCTTTCAAACTGAGACCTGATGAAGCATTCGCACGCCTTACGCTCGAACATACATGAAGTTGCATGCAGCAGTGGAAGAACCCCGTATCATGTGACTTATTTAAGCCGCGGAATTGTATGCATCACTGTCTTTTAACCACAACACGAACCTACGGAGCAAGAAGAGCATGAGTTTGTCAGTTACTCCCATAATAAAACTTTGAAATATATCTGGTGACATGATATTCCCCCACTGTGTAGCGCTAAGTTCCACACAATTAACCGTTTAATTCCCTTAGAGTTAAAGATGCTCTTGTCCTAGTCTATTTGTAGGTAATCACCCCAGCTATGTCCGCTACCATATAACTATATATTTTTTTGTAACTTAAGACTGTCCACCGTTTTGAGGTATACTGGTGATTCACTAAAGTTATTTTTGGTCTGACACTCCAAGCTTGGTTGGCATGTTGAACCAAACATATCCTATTCGTATAGTCTCCGAAGGTTAGCGGCAAAATACGCTGAAAAACTTAAAAATCCACCTGTATGATGTTTTGTCCTGGAAATCTAAATCATCCAGCTTGCACAACTAATCCATCTCATCCTATTAATTCCGCAGAATGGGAGCGAAATTGCCGACGAGGACTGCCCTAGATGTGGTCGACGAGCGATCGAAGATATCGGCATTTTCTTCCTGCCGGATGCCACGAAATATGAAGAAGAGAAAAGTATTTGGGACTAAATTTCCCCATAGTTCCGACCCCGACTGCGAACTGATTTCTTTCGATTGTATTCATTTCTGCTTTTGATCATGTACTTTTGAACCATTGACTTAAACATGTAATTTATATACAGTGCCTTTGTATATTTTTTAATGATAGGAAATTAGTGAGTTCTATGTGCAAAAATCTGCAGTCATATTTCTATTGAGATTGTGAAAAGTTCAGTAGTCTCGGTGGGATTCGAATGTTCAAAGTTCAGTGCTCTGCCGGTGTGGCCTCGTGGCTCAGCTGATAGAGCGTGCGCTGTACAAAAAGCGTAGGCGGCGTCCATGCGTGGGTTCAAATCCCACCGAGGCTACTGAACTTGTCACAATCCCAACATAAAACTTCAATCTGCCAAACAAGCATATCGTATTTCGTTTAGCCTGTGTGAAATGATATCGATTAGGCCGCCGGGACAGTGTTACACCTCTTCGTTCAAGCATCACTCAGTGGATCGCTATCCGGTACATTAGTTAGCAATATTCCAATGTCTCTTCTGTAGGACGAGATTTGGAGAAAAATTGATGCTCAATTTCCCACAACACTGACCTTGCTTCGAGTTGTTCCCGTAACCCATGCAAGGTGTCCCGCGGAGTTGTACCAAAAAAAGGGATGAGAATAATCGTGCTCAGGAATGTCATATGTGTATAAAAACAACTGTACATGTTTCTTGTGTTTGGCCTGCTTCTTCACGACAAGGGTGGGGGAATAACCAGCTGAGCAGTCAGTCCGGCGTAGGGGGGGGTGGAGGTGAGCAAGGCAATACGCTAAAAAAGGGTCGCGTGAAAGACAGGAGAAAACAAGAAAGATGAGGCCAGCTTTGGACGGCAAGAAACCAACATGGATGGACTGAATAAAAGAAGTCAGATGGCGCGACTGAATTCAATAGATTGTAGAAATAATGAAGTGAAATAAATAAAGAGATCATCATCATCATCATCATATTGCTCTGTATGCTCGTGGAGAAGAAACGCAAGCAAACATCCCCTTGTAGTTGATGTCGCTTGGGATGAGTGATTGGACATTAGGCGGATGAGAGGGGGTCGTTCACTTTTCATACTGTTTAAACGTTAGCTAACTTGGAAGGAACAAACACAGATGCCTAGCGCTTCTTCTCACAGCGAGACTTGTCAGTGGACTAGACCAGAAGACTATCGTGTGAGACAGAATTGATGCATGAGGTCGGTTTCGCCGGATACGACGGACTGCGATGCAACTTGGGCAAACGGTCCAATAGGCGGACAACAGTGGTGAACTCTGGTCGACGGGTCGGTGAATAGGCCCAGCATTGAGTGAGAATTTCCTGCAAAACGCAACGAAAAAAAATTGTTTCACATCATCTCACAACCTTTTACTGGATGTTTGTTTTTATTTCTATGCACACACCAAAACACAGGTGATACCGTGTTTTTCACGACAAATTCTGTACAAAATGGATGAATAAGGAGTGTTCCTAACTGGAAAATAAGAAAGGATTATCAATGAGCAATTTCAACGAAAACAAACCATTTCTAACGGTCAAGATCTAATGCGTAGTAATCAGGCAACTAAATCGAACAAACACATGAGAAACGATCTTTTCACTATCACTACACTACATTACACCCTGATTGGATAACTGTTATGAGGTGTCGGGCTCGTTTGTTTTTGTATTTGCGGCTGTGATAGAGATAGGACAAGGTGCAATAGGACTGGAACTCCGAGCGAAAGATCCTGTTCGTGTCATCTCCTTCTTTGTATTTATTATTTCGCTTATTCCTCTTGTTAACTCAGACCACACAATAAACAAGGATCTAGACATTTTTCTCGACAACTAGATCCATGAACGAAAATCTGAGCGGATATACGGGTGTGTAATTCTAAACTATCGTGGTCGTTGGACTACAATCATAACCTCCGAAACCCTCTGTATGGTCGACGGGTGGGTATATTGGGCTGTGGCTGGTCACCCTTCCCTTGTACTTCATGAAAGACTCTTATACCACCAAGCGGCTCAAACAGCCTCGGCTAAGCAAGCCCCACTCGCCGCCTTCCCGTGGCTGAGGTTTTCCCATCAAGTTAATAGGATGAAAAGCCGATATCTGGGACTATAACCGGGTTGGTAAGCCACCACCAACAGTTCACCTAAGCGAATTAGCTAAAAACCCTAATTCCAAACCAACAAAGAACAAGCGTACGAACCAGGCACGTGTTTAGGCCTGGCAACCGACTCAATCGGGTATCGAGATGTATTGGGTATTTTGAACACTTAACCCCGTCCAAAGAGCGTATGATCCGATGAACTGGTCCTCACACACCGCTTTGTGGGTCAGGTTTTGACTAGCCGAAGGCTCGAGATGTGCATTTCCCAAGAAAATCCACCTGGCAGTACCGAGCCTACAAGGGAATCATGGGACTTTTTGGAGGACAATGTTTGTCCACTGTCATCAATCCCAGTCAAAAGAAAGCAGCTGTGTTATTTACCGTTTCGGTATTGTTTTCGAACCTATCACTGAGGCCAGTGCAGTGTTGCTGTTTGTCGGTAACGATAAAAATAAATGAGTATCCCGTAGCTAAACAATCAACACTCGTGCATGGCGAAACAGCGTTCAAATGCGCCCGTTAAGAGGCTAGGGTGTTCAGATAATCGGGCAGTCGTGGCCCGGTGGTAACGTCATCAAATTAACACTTCGGGGATGTGTGTGTGTTGGAATCTCATCACTACCGCCTAACTTTCCCCACTGTGTGTTGCATTGCAGCCCCTTGATTGGCTATTTCCTCCTTCATTAAAATTGTATCTTTGCATAAAAATGGAAAGAAAAAAGCTGTACCATGTCACACTGATCAAACTGCGATACGCGAACTAATGCGGGAGGGGACTGTATAGAAAAAACACGGGGGCTGCGCCACTTACTTTGAAGTCCTTCGGTCCGGGAATGCGAAGGTTCTGTTTAATACCTCGGCCGCTCAAATAAATGACCGCTTCAGCAGGAGAGCCTTTGAATGGGAACTCGTTAGTAAGAAGTTCGTACCACACAGTACTGAAGAAAATACCGACCGGAAACGGAGGGGGAGGTGAAGGGTACAGATAATGCGCGTGTAAGATGACAGTGAGATAGGGAATGTATTGTGAGATTTACACATGTAGCATTCATCAACAACTGATAAAACTATAACAAAAACTAAAAGTAAACACTGGACGAAATCACTTGTAAGATAATCGCCCCGAGTAAAAGCGGATCAAATGCATGTCTTGTCGATCAGTCAAATAAGGGAAAGGTATCCAATCCTGAAGGTAATTCATGAAGAGATATGCCACATGCACATAGCGATCCCTGGGATCTAAACATGGGGACACATGAATGACGGGAAATCATGAATTCCATGGCCGTTTATCCAAAGGTAAAAAAACTAGAAGAGACTAGATAGTTTCCTTTGTGTATTTGGACAAGAACAAAATAGAGTTGTTTTAACGTACTGCAGGACTAGTTTGCCGGTACATCTGAAAAGTGTAGCGCTTGTGTGAACAAGTCATTGTAGTGTGTAACTCCTGACAGATCGCGCAATCTGATTGTCGCCATCAGTTAGTTTGCGTATTCCTATTGTTACTAATTTTCTATGGTAGGTGAACAGCCTTGTGGGAACCGGCGCAAAACCATACATCTAATTGTATAACTACAAGTGTTGTGAGGTACTACTCAAATTTGTCAGTACTGTGCAAAATAATTCGATAGGCGATCAAAAAGGAACAAGACCACCGAGGTCGAATTGCTGTGCTCCAAAGAATAACTACGAACTGCTCCATTCATTACCTGGGGTGCTGCCGGGAATTGCGGTGTCGTGTTTCAAATGAGATATTTATATGCCAAATTAGTGATACCCCAACTGTAATCTGCAGTAAACAACTTTCTTGGACCGAGCACCATCTTGTGGAATTATAACAGTAGAAGATAAACTTCCACCAAATTATCCTTTAATCCGGTGAAAAATCAGTGCCGATACGACGGCATACCAATTACGTTTATTCTGTAGACTATTGTAAACCAGTTGCACATCCGACAGAATGCAACGAACAGTGTAAACTCACCCGAAGGCGAACACATCAGAACTTGGTGTCAGAGGCAGTTCGCTTGCTGTTGTGACAAAAGCATAATTCAAGTTGAGTGCCTGAATAATTTCCGGGGCAATGTAACATAGCCAAGAAGGTGGAACATTCAAATAGTTTCCCCATCTGTAAATGAAAAAAACATGAAATAATATAATGTATATACAACAGTTCGGCGTTCACTCGTATCAGACCATAATACACAACCCATGTTTAAGACGCGATTCGAAATCAGCAACTCACTTTGCTTTCTTACAAAGTCGTACAAAGTTGAACACCCCGAAGTCACCGATGACAACGCGAGAGTTGGCTTCCACAAAGATATTCCGTGTTTTGAGATCTCGATGCACAATGCCTTTCGCATGTAAATAGCCCATACCTTTTGCAATCTGACACGCGATACTGATTGTGCGATTCACGGCCATTAGAGTGTCGCGGTAGTGTAGTTGATGATAGAGTGTCTCGCCCTGAAATCGGAATCGCAACGTTTCATTGAAACAGTTTGGGAAAACCACGGAGCACAATGCCGGATATTCTATATACACATATAGTATCGCTACGGTAAAAAGTACGTTAAGGTCCATTTCCCTGGCGCCTTGCGGTAGAAAAACAATAACTTCAGTACCCAAAAGAGACAAATCACTAGGCCACAGCATCAGCAATCAGAATACCAAGACCCTCAATCCGAGAACCGCCGCAGCCGTACACCGAATTTCGACGCCGGTGCAGAGACGGCCTAAATGACAATCAGGCTGTAAACCAGACCGTTGCCTGAGGTTGGAACAAAACACCATGTAAGTAGCCTGATTTCAGATCTTCACTTTGAACGAGACGTGCAGTCTGGTCTAAGGACACCGGTTCAACCAAACGATATGTAAATTGCGTCTTAAGCGAATAACATTCATGCGACCAAACAACGAATCGCGATCCTTGCATACCGCTCCGCTGACTTTTGGTTGTGAATCCTCAACCAAATCGCTTGCTGGGGCTAGGGTAATCAAGTAGCACTGCTAGAAAGTACAAGTAACATGATTTTCTTCGCATACTGTCAAAGTTCAAACCAGAACAAAATACCATCATCGGTTTTACGCACTCCGGTGATCGCACAAATGCTGCAGATGGTTCCGTCAGAGAAAACAAATACGGAAATTAAAACGAAGGTGCAGTAGGCAGTGCTCCTTATTCTGTCTAGCGTCTACACAACTCATTAGTGACTGTTCCGAGATCAACAAGATATAACAGATTTACCACATGATGACGTGTGTGAAAATAACTGTTCACAACAGACAAGGTTAAACGGCATGGCTGCAATCGTTACTTACGGTAGACTATCACGGGTATTGGATAATTTAAGGAACTACTCTGTGCAAATGGTT